ACAGGCTCACTCCCACAGTCATCTGCATGGCACCGCACCTCTCCAAGTCCATAGCTCACAGCATCCGTAAAGAAGGTGAACTCATGGTGGTATCCAGGTGCACTGAAGACTGGTCTGGATGTTACCGCCTCCTTCAGCTGGACACACAACTGCTGGCACTTGGGAGTCTCTGTCGACCACTGGTTCTTTTCTCCGCAACCTTTTCTGTCGACTTGCAGTCATTAGCGACTCGGTTGTCCACGGGGTGTTGTCTGCTGGTTGTTTTATAAGAAGCCTGCTCTCTTTCTGACTCGGGCCTTCACCGTATCATTTGGGGAAAGGGTAGGCAGTTCCCTCTCCTCCTCCTGACCATCTCTGGATGCGTCCCTCTTTAAAACATCAGAGCAGATGCCTTTCTCCTCATTCACACATTGTCCCACAGGTACTTTCAGTGAAAGAGGAGACTGATATTGAACAATTAAACAAAGGTTGCAGTTCTTGGGTATAAAGGCACAAGAATGAACGAGCCCAATTTAAGTGCCTGAGGAACTGTTGCAACTTCACTAATGTAAAATGGGATGGAGTTTTTAGTTCTGGCAAGAACATAGAAGATGTAGTTTGCAGCAGTTTGTGTCCTAGATAAAGAAATGGAGGTGTGGTTTGTATTTTTTCTGGAGCTATGTGAAGGTCTTTTCTCTCTAAGTGGTTAGCTAGAGAATCAGACAGCTAGAGGGAACTGATAGTTCATGTCTTCAGCTGTGATTAAATCATGACCGGTACTTTTAATAGTAGCAGGTTGGATTTCTTGAACTGGGATAGCATTCACTGCATTCCCTTCACTTGGATTTTCATGAACATGGTGCTCCTGATTGTTACGAACCACAGGACAAACAGACATAAGGGGGAGGACATCAGCAAGATCCTCTGGTTTGCCTTTGGCCATAACATCAGATAACATCTGCTGCACTGCTGAGTGAGGAGAGGGGGAAGAGAGAGGAGGGGAAGAGGGAAGGTGGAGGAGAAGGGATGATAACAAAAGCAGCAGAAGATGCATAGGAAAGGAGATTGTTTCTATTTTCATGGAGATCAGGTGGCCTGGAGGGTGGCAGAATCTGAGGTCCTGTTGGAATATGAGCTAATGACTGAGTTAACAAAGGATTTGTGATCTTTACAATTGCATTCTGACAAAGATGCCACATGTGAAGAATTTTTAGTGAGGGTCCAGAGTTCTTGTGAAGCTTATCTCCAATTTTATCCCAGTCTGAAAGCTTAAAGCCCCTCCTTCTGAGTACCAGGGACAAAAAGTATTTCTTTCTTTCAATAAATTTCCTACTGAGTCAGAAATGTCACAGTGACCTTCTCTGTGAAGCAGATAGACCAAGTCCTGTTTATGTCTTTGTTGAAATGTGAAAGGGAGTTTCCCCGTTGTGTTTCTATTTTCACTGAATATTCATTGGGATCCTATAATGGATGAAAAGACACGTCTGAAACCCTTGGCAGGCGTGGTGAGTTTGTGTTCATTGCCTATACCTCAGGCAATGTTGTTGTCCCTTTCAAGAGTCCCTGTCAGGTCCCTATTTGATGGCTTTGTTTAAAGCCTCTATCTGAAGTGCCCCACGTTGGGCACCAGATGTAGGTGATCACAGAGCAAAAGGAAAACTAATGATTGGGGTGATCACAGAGCAATAGGAATGCAATTGCAAAGAAGTCCACAAGCAGATGTCCGAGCCAGCGGAGCCTAAAGGCAATGCCTTGAGAACTCTTTTATTAACTTAGCAAGGGTTACATTGTACGTTGTGAGAATTCAGATAGGATCGTCGTCATCATTTAGTCATTTAGTTGTGTCCAACTCTTCGTGACCCCATGGACCAGAGCATGCCAGGCCGTCCTATCTTCCACTGTCTCCCGTAGTTGTGTCAAATTCATGTTGGTTGCTTCAATGACACTGTCCAACCATCTCATCCTCTGTCGTCCCCTTCTCCTCTTGCCTTCACACTTTCCCAACATCAAGGTATTTTCCAAGGAGTCTTCTCTTCTCATGAGTTGGCCAAAGTACTGGAGCCTCAGCTTCAGGATCTGTCCTTCCAGTGAGCACTCAGGGTTGATTTCCTTTAGAATGGATAGGTTTGTTCTCCTTGCAGTCCAGGGG